CTGCGTGGTGCTGAGCTGGGGCTGGGGCTGAACCCCGACACTGACTATCCTCAATCCAAACTTGCTCCCTAACAGTTATACAGCACTCCTTTGGTCTAAATTTTGCCAGTATTTGTCCAATAGTATCATATAATTTCAGTATGTGTAGAAAAACTTTCAGAAAACAGTTTTGTAGGTAAAGCAGTGAGACTTAAGACATTATTTTTATGTGCTCAGCAAGATCATTAGTGAGCTCCTCAGGATGGAGATTTCACTGTTGCTAGATGCAAGGTACATCTTGTTTATGTGGTGCAGGGTCGTTCCTTGGGTGTTAGGTTGCTCTGACACTTGATGAGCATTCATGGAATAGCAATTAGGGCATGACAAATATATTAACAGCCCTGAATCAGAACTGGGAGTTTGGTTCCAGGATTGAAGGGAGGAAATTTGTCTTTTCTGCCTGCTGGACTTGGAAGTTCTTGGCGTAGCCATTAGAAGTGAAAGTAAAGCTGAATCTAGGTGGTACTAATGAAATAGTAAAATATATTAATAAAGGGGCTTTTTTTGGTCTTTTAGGAAGCAGAGATCCTGAATACAGCTATTCTCACTGGGAAAACAGTGGCTGTCCCTGTCAAAGTGATCTCTGTGGAAGACGATGGGACTGTGACTGATCTTCTGGAATCTGTGGAGTGCAGATCTTCAGACGAAGATGTCATTAAGGTAGGATCATACTGCTCCATTGCACAAAGGCAGAGGCCCTGCAAAACGGTGGTGGTCTCTAACGTGACAAGTTCTTCCATCTTCCTAACTCTTCTACTGCTGGAAGACAAAGGTTTATTATCACTGTTACATATAGATTGGTTCAGTGGAGAAATAAAAAACACAAAATCACACATTTTCCATCCTGCCTGTCAAATACTTGGAACTGTCTGTCACTTCCCACTTCTGAAGTATTTTTGGAGTTCACTCTACCTTTACCTTTTATTTTTCAGCTATATGGGCTGTGTAGGTTCAGGAATGCTGTCAGCTGATGTTCTAGAGCAGGAGGTCATTCCTCCGAAGCTGGTTTGCCACATTGGAACAGGAGCTGTATGACTCAAAGTTTGGGCCTCTTCTTGGTACTGACCCAGCAGTCTATTGCAAACAACATTAGCTTTAAATTTGGAATTTTCTTTGGTCACAATTGCTACTAGGGTGTCTCACAGGAAACATGCTGGCCACCAATCATGGACTGGGAACTACTGGATAAGACACTTGACCAGTGGATTTACTCTGTGCAACAGTTCTATAACCTAAACTTCCTTGAAAGTTAAACAGCAGGCAATAATATACTGCTACTCTTAGTTTTGACTCACGGTGTGTCATTTCCTAGCTAGTGGTGAGGAGAGAGCTTGCAGGAGTGCCCTTAAGTGCCTTTTTGTTACTGAAATCTTAGGGTCAGACTGGACCCTCAAGAAAATTGCTGCTGCTTGAAGGCTTTCAACTTGCACCAATATTACTACTAAAAGCTTGTAAGAAGTCCTGTGTATTCCTACTCAGCTTGGTTAATGGTTAACACACAGTAATGGTAATGGAAGGACACGGTCAGCAGTGGTGATTGTGGGAAATATGGTGGAAAGTATTCCAGCATAGTGACAGAAATGTTAGCTTGTCTACAGCAGCTTTTATCTTTTCACAAACTTATCTGTGGTTGTCACTTGAGAAAAGGAAACGAGAGACGTGGCAACAAATAAAAGATAAAATGGAACTTTTTTAACATAACCAGCATGTCACAAAACCATTACAAATACTACAGGCCACCCTTCCAGCTGCTGGAAATCACTGTTATCCTATTAACTTTTGTGAACTGCACCATATTGAGGACTTGGCCTTTGTGAAATTTGCCTTAGCCTAAAGCTGACTGGAATGCTAAGCTTTCTCCCTGTTATGTTAGTTCATTTTATTTTGGGTTCAAACAGGTGAGGGTAGTGTTTAGCTCCAAAGCAAGCCTCCCTGGGCCCCATTAGCTGGAGAAGACTCTTCCTAGTGGGCATTTTTTGTCTTTACAGGCAAAGATGAGTGTAGGTACTTGGTTGTTACTGTTATGTGGGAAACTGTTGGGAGTTTGAGACGTACCTACAAGTTTAGTAACTTCATGTCACAGAGGGAGTGGCAACTTGGAGCAGGGTAATTGAAGAGCTGAGTTGGTTTGGGTTTAAAGGATCATTCTTGAGCTATCTCTAAATAGATTTTAATTTTTATTGTCAAAAAATTGCACTGTTTACACTCACTGGGCTTGTTTTAAGTAACTTCATGATAATTTCTCACACACAAGATAAACCCAAGCAACTTAAAAGTCCCGCGTTTTTTATGTTTCCCTTTTAGAATCTACTCAGGTTTTCTATTTATCTGAATAGCCACCATGCTGGTATGTTCTGATTAAATGTGTCTTTCTGGCCGTCTTAATCCAGACTTTTTTTTTTTTTTTACTTCTATGAAGACCTTTTGAATCTGCTGTATCTGCCAACTGTAGCAAACTGATGGTGTTTCTAGGTGAATCTAGGTTTAAAAACAGAAAGAAATTATTTGGGGTCCTTGCCTTGCGTTATGGAAGTTAATGGACTAAGTCTTCACTCACTAACTCACTCGTTAACTAACTTTTTAGGCTTTTTCAGAGAAGTGGAAAAAATAATTTGAAAGCAAATATATCGTTTAGAAGATATTTTTAAAATCAGTTTTGTTTCCCAAAGTTTTAGTTTATCAGAATGATTTGGCATGTTCAATGGATATTTGTGAAATGGTTTTGGCTGATACAAATCTGCAACAGTTTGTAGCATACAACATGCTCAGCTCTAACCCTGGCAAAGAGGTTAAAGCGGTAGTACTGCTTATGTGCCTATTTCTCATTAATTGTAAGTACATGACTATACCAATAAAGGCTTGCATGCTTAATGTTATTGATATACACACCATTGCACAATGGTGCTAATGATAGGCCCCATGTCAAAACAGGAAATCACCCGTCAGAGATCAAGACATTCTGGGCTTCTGCAAACATCCCACTGGAGTTCACTCCTCTGCAGGAGGAAGGCAGGTTTCAGCAGCATTAAAATGAGTCGCCAGTTTAAAGTGAGCTCTTAATTGAAAATGTGTCTCTGAGTTTTCAGTTTACCTGCTCTGTTTCAGACCAAGCCCTGCTCACAGACATCTTATCTAATGAAGATAAAGATATGTAATTACTGGCCAGCCTTCAGCATGCAACAGTAATTAGAGTTTCTGTTCTCTGGGCATTAGAGTAGTGAATACAAAATGGAAGAAAAAGTCTGCTTAAAATACCAGTTGAAATATAAAGATTAAGATTACATTTCTTTGTGTCTTCACTGTTGCTGGTTTTCAATGTATCTGTCATGTAGAATGCAACAGATTGATTATGTCTTTGTGGCTTAGTTTTTAGTCCTGATTTTTTTTGTGTTGATTGATGATGAGTTTAAGCTCATTTTCCTTGCAGAATGAGGATACCTCATTCTTCTTTTAGTTTCAGGGGCCACGTTTATTACTCGAGTCTTTTATCTGGGACTTCAAAGAACTTTAAAGAGCTAGACCAAATTCTGCACTGATTTGTTTTCTGCCAAACTGCACCTACTTGAACTTGGTTGAATAAGTCAGGACAGAATTTAGTCCATTAAACCAATATTGTTATTGACCAATGATAGTCTGAAATTATTTGGTTCACCATGACAGAAACCATGCCAAAAAATGGAGGCATGTTATAGGCTCTGTTTCACAAATGAGGAATCTGAGATACAGAAAAGTTCAGGTGAGGATTTCAAAGTGCTGTAAAGTTCTGACCGTTGAAGTAGATGGTAAAACTCCTACTGCTCTCATTGAAAAGAGTGATTGGTGAGCAGACTTTTTTGGTTGAGTTGTTAATATGGACCAAATTCTCAAGATTATTTAAATCTAGAATGAGGAGAGGAGAGAGAAAAAATCAACATCTTTTAATCTTTCATTTTGAAAAGACATTTCCATTTCAAAATGGCCACTTTTTCAAGGCTCAACAAAGCCTAAAAGTCTCCAAAGCAACACTCTGATGCTCTGGGTTTTCAGTTTGATGAGTTAGTTGAAAATCTGCATTTTGGTTGCCCTGAAATGAAAATACCTTTAGGTTAATTTTTTTTTTTTAATCAGGTAACTAAAAATTCCAATATATTCTCAGCTCTGTCCAGAAGCCACTTGCCAGAAGTCACACAGTGAATGGTGCCAACACTGGGAACAGGATGCAGTTTCTCTGGCCCTTTTTTATATTACAATGCCTATTTTGTAGAAGATTCCATTCCAAATCTGTGTGTTATCCAAAATTACATGCTTTTCTAACAAAGTACCTTTAGCGTATTTCCTTCAACAGCATCTTGTACTTTTCTTGGATCTCAGATAAGGATGCAAATGGGAGGGCAGGCATACTAAATTTTGTCTGTATTACAAGAAAGCTCCTGGGGGCAGAAGGAGGGTTGTTACTACCGATTTCCTTTGCACAACCTAGGACTTACCACAGAGCCGTGGGGCTGTGTCCCACGTGCAGAGGCTGTGCAAGATGTTGCAGGGTGGCCTCTCGCTCTGAATTCCCATTTCCCAAAGCTCTGCAATCCGTCCTGGCTGTGGGATGATTGCCTGGCGTTTGTGCTTGTCCTCAGCCACAGCTACATGGCAGGAAGTTATTGCTGATCGGGCGAAGGGTTGGTAGCTGCTTTGTTCTGTTCACTTCGGACTGTATTAGAGGGGATAACAATGCACTTGGCACTTTGTAAAATATTACTGCAGACTAATACATCTTTCAATAACACTCAGGGTGGTTTTATCAGTGGCAAAATAACTTCTTTTTAATCAAGTGACAGACTTCACAGAAACTGAAGTGTCAGAGCATTTAAAATAGCCTGAAGCATACAGTGTTTTAAAACATTAAACTTTTAACAGCTGTTTCTTTTCTTCCTTACACTGGTGCACTTCAGGGAAAAGTTTAATTCTTCTAAAGTCAATGGAGTGACAGAGTAAAAAAATCAAAGGAGAAGATAATCGAGTCCAGGATTTTATCTGCTCCTTAGTTTAGCATTGGCAATTCCAGTGCTGCAGATTTCACAACCATATTGCTAGTGGCAGTCCATTTGATATTCTTTTTACAACACATTCTCAGATGCATGTGATTACACAAGTTTTCAGTTCCACCTTTCAAGTGGAAAAGAAAACCCTCACAGCTGCATGGGCCCCCAAAATGGAGGTACTGCAAAGACACACAACAATTTAAAAACAAGAGTATGAAGAATCCCAATTTCCCCGTGATCTCTAGAGTTTAAGCCAAGTGAGGAGTGATTTGAGACGCGTGTTATGGCTTGATTGAGTCTAACAGCTCATCTAGTGAAAAGGAGGAAGCCAAGCATTCACCCTTTCCTGGTTCTTGCTCCAGTGAATTAGTAGAGGGAGAGGGACAGAAGGAGGAGAAAGCATCCTGAAGTGGGGGCAAAGCAAAGTGGGAGAGGGGAAAGAGAGAGCAAGCCCCTGTTCCAGCAGCAGTGATCTATTAAAGTAGAATCATAGAATCACAGAATCGTTTAGGTTGGAAAAGACCTTTAAGATCATCCAGTCCAACCATTAACCTACACTACCAAGTCCACTCTAAACCAGTCAAGGGCAGACTAGGCTAAACCATGTCCCAAAGTGCCACCTCTGCCCGTTTTTTGAACACTTCC